CTATGAATCACTGAAATAACCAAATTCTGAAACACCCAAACACGCATCTCTGTCTCAGCAACATGTACTCCTTTAACCCAAGCAGCAAGTGCAAGAAAGGAAATTAAACAAATGGGAATTGAGAACAAGGATTTCAAAAAAGGGGTGGGGGGAGCAGAGAGGGGGAAGGAAATAATAAAGAGTACATGCTGAGAATAGACAGAACAATCCAAATGGTCATCCTAGGAAGAGGCTCAGAAAATCCTTGTTTTTCTTTTTTGATTTGCAACATGAAAGGTTTTTGGTTTGGGTTTTTTTTGTTGGTATTTTTTTTTTGGTTGATAGAGAAAATATATCTTTAATTCCAGGTGCTATGGATAAACATACACCAGAGACTGATCCTAGACCACTTTCCAACTTGGAGAAGTGCTGCCAGTGCAAGACCCCAAGTTTTTAAATCCACGCTCAAAAATTGGAATAAGAAAAACATTTCAACTGAGCTTTAAAAATAAAAATGGTGCTTTGAAGTTAGCCACCCATGCATGAAACCAACAGAAGTCTGTTTTTGCTAAGTTGCAGAAGTATCCTGAATCATATTTTATCCTGTAGTTGTATTGGTTATGTGGCTCAGAAACCACTATTAAGTTTTATTTGTGAATATGACCATGTGGATTTAAATGAAGGGCACTTTGTATGATGAGAAGTTGAAAACAGATGTGCTCGAGTCTGAAGTGTTCCCAACTGGTAGATGTACAGAATGGGTGGACAGTGTGTTCTTGCTGATGACAGAGAAGGGCACATTAAGGCCACTAACTTAGGGGCATGAGATGCGACTCGCTGAGTCATATCATCTAGCCCAATGTGCTGCTGCAAATCTTGGACTAAATCCACTACACCACATACAGTGCATGCTGGAATGGTCCCATGAGCTGGAACTGTTGTGTTGCTGCATGCCTTACCTGTGCTGTGCTGGCCCAACACACTGGATCTGGTGCAGGGGGCTGGTCTGCCGGCCTGATCCAGAGGCCATGTACTGGCCCTGCACTATTTATCCAGCCTGTGGGGTGCAATGAATTTGACACTCATGCATTGACCAATAAGTAGTAATCCCCTACCCATTCCATTCACAGCTCACAAGGACCCAGCATCCCTTACAATACTCAGTCAAGGCAAGAAAACCAACAGAACTTGTTATGGTCTGGCCCAAACATATACATATTACAATTTTTAGAAAACCCCAATGTTCACAGCCCCAAAGACTTACAGACAAACAAACAGGATTATCAAAAAGTTTAAAGTTTTACCAAAAAGCAATAGTTGTAGATGGAGGCACGTTGCAATATTCTAGGTTTCAAGCTGACCCTTACTTGCACAACACCATTAATTTGAGTAGTATCAAAATCAATGACAAGTTTACTAAAGAGACAATTTACTCCTTTCCATGAACAAATCCAAAGGACAATGCTAAATACAGAAAAATGAAAGTAAGTCTTTCAGATTTCTTTATAGCATTTCCACAGGTGAGATTAAGCAGCTGAGTTTGCTAACAGCACATCTTCCAAATCCCCTAAAGATCTAGCACTGCTTTTTTTATGCCCTTACATATGCTCAAATAGCTCCTTTCCTAAGTACTTTATAAACAGAGGCTTCTCATTTAATAAATTGCCATGTTGCTCAAATTGTGAAATTCATTCCCTGTCTCCCAAAGGTAATGTAAACATTTAGTTTCTCCCATCGGTGCTCACTGATGTGAAGCCCCAGAATTCTGCCTGCTGAGATTAATTTAGATTCAAAAGAGATCAAACTAGTTCAACTCCCAAATTAAATTAGGAAATAATCTAACTTTCTTAGATTATCTGACCAAAGGCTAGGAAAAAGTGGACTATATGCCCAACAAATTTACTCCATTTTACAGAGTGAAGCATTGTTGCCTAATGGGGTAACAAAAAAAAGAAAGAGAAAAATGAGAGCCACTCTTTGCTTCCCAAGTACCTCCAAAACACATTTGTGATCTGTATCAAATGGCACATTTAAGGTTCTCTGCCATCTTACTTTATTCCTGTAGTAACTTCCTCTTCCTGTTCCCCACCCAAAGCTCATCATTCTACATTGCCTTTAAACATCTTGGCAACAAATGCTCATATAAATGCAACAAGCCCTTTCACAATACCTTTCTTATGAAGAATATTTTTATGGCCAATATAAAAATGTATTTGCTGTGTTAAAACACCTAAACATTAGCCTTGGAATCTAATGAATTATTCTGATTTTATCTATATCTACATCTATATCTCTCTGCTTGGATTTGACCATGAAGGGTATTTTGTTTTATTTTATAAAATTGAAAGTTTTCTATATTCCCCTTTACCAGCTAAAGTAACTATTCCAGTACAGCAGCATATCCAAGTTTGATCAGTTAATGATTAAAAAACCAAGTATGCCATTTCCAAGTGAAAGGGGAGTATCTGAACATCAAAACACAAAGTAGAAAAACATCCAATATCATGTTTAGTCATAAATTCAATTAAAAACTGGTATTAGATTAGGTAACTGCACTATTACCTCTAGCACTAACAAAGTATAAACATGTCTCTTACCTGTAGTAGGAATTACACCTCCAAAGTGTACATGGAAATCCTTCCCGAAAGTATTTCAATGTCATTAAAGAAAAAGCACCACCCTTGAAGGGTGATTTCTCACCATTTTTACCTGTGTCTAACCCACATTCAGTGCTATTTCTACTGTATATACATCTAATTTTAAAATACTTTGTCAGTACTTTCTTCTGGTAAATGTGAAGTAAAAAGATATTTTAACCAATGATGTATAAAGAAACTTAAAATGACACTAAGGTGTCCTAATCAAATTTAAAAAACAAAAACAAAACAACCCCCCCCCCAAACAAACAAAAAAAATCCCCTTTGCTTCCTTGGCAACACATTTGCTTTTTTGGCAGTAGGCACTCTTGAAATGCAGCCATCTAAATTAACATTTTAAAAGTTAACTGATAAAATCAGAAGAGTTCTTTAATAACTATAAATGAGCTTTTTACAATATCAAGTTTCTAGGTCTGTGGGCATATTTTCTTGTAAATGCTTAAGTGTAAATTAAGTGTGAAGTGTTTTTGTGCTGTACCCTTAAAAACAAAAACAAAAAAACCCTTGCATACTCCAAACAATTCACCATCACAATTTTCTGAACAAAAAACTCAAACAATAATTTAGACAGTGTTTATAGCATTATAAAATCACCTGTGTCCCTCTCTTTAATCACTCACAACAGCCATAAAGGATACAACAGCTTTAAGAATACAAATAATGAAGACGCAAAACTATTTGTGCAAAACTGCATTATTTTACTGTCTAAAATTTCAGGGAAGTAACACCGCCAAAAGCAGAGAGACGATAACAAAGACAAACAGTCATGAAAGCAATGCCATCTTAGCTTGTTCAACCAAGAATTACATTATGGAGCAAGTATTTGATAAAAAAGAAAAAGAAAAAACCTGGTGGCACCATGAGCAACAATAATGACAAATGTCCTGGAAATTGCCAGTTGACAGCTGATACAGGTACAGGTCAAAGTCTTTCAGGTGTAGCAATGGATTTGGTGAGACCATCTCTAGCATTTCTTTCCATGCAAGATCTATCTTCAACATCTTTGCTTTGCGGGCTACTAATACATTTAAGAATGAGCAGTCTTTTGAGGAGTGTATGGTCTTTCCATGCATCTGAAATCTTTAAAACAGCTGGATCATTGACTCCCTGGATTTCCCTACTCCAATCCATTTAACTGCAGGAAAAAAGAAGGTGACAGAACAGTTTGCACTTTTTATCATAAACTCAAATGTGACATTGCTAAAGAAAAAAAAAATGTTCTTCTGTGTAAATATCTATGTATCATTAGCAACCGTAGTATTTGTTATTAAGCAATGACACTGCATTTCTTTAATATCTCTGTGTCCAATCTCCAAGTACGTGATCTTGAATCACTGACTTAAAAATTAACAAGATCAGGTCCTAAAATTCTAGGCATGCAAGTAAAGCATGAAGGGACCTGATGTGCAATCTACGTAACTCCACTTCCTGCCATAGGGAATAAAGGCAATAAAGCAGGATGGGATAAGGATCAGATCCCATCCTCCTTTATTGCCAATGCAGGGGGAGCCAGGGATCACTATCCTGGACTTCCCCTGCAACGGCAAGTAATAAGCTCCTGCTGGTTGGAGCCCTCTTGGCTGATGGGACTCATCCACATGAATCCATCAGTTGTGGGCTCCCAGCCCCCAGGGGCACATGGTGCTCCCTGCAGCTGGAAGCCTCACCAACTGATGGGACTTGTAGCCATGGGGCACATGTGGCCCCACACATTCAGTTAATGGAGTCATAGTAACCAACCACGGTTATTCCACAAAAATTATGGCTTAGTCCTTGTTTTATGATGCTATTAACTACTTTAACATGTGGCCAGGTTACAACTTAAGACATGACTAAGTTGTTACACACATCTTAAACGTAACATGTGGCAGGGGTCTAAGTCTCATAACCCCTTTCAGAAATAGGTGTTAAAACATTGAACACTGAAGTTAAAATATTTCCCAACGATCATGTTCTGTGATCAGAAAGAAGCCCACGTCTCCCAACTCGCAGGCAATCTTTCCTCACAAGAAAATGTAAACAGGACAGTGTTGGTGAATCCATTAAAAAGGAGAATAGCAATTTAATTAGAAGGACAAAAACTAATTGGTAAAAAGTACACAAATATACTAAAAACCTTTTTAAAATGTTCCCTATTTTTAGATTTTACAGTTAAAACAAAGCAATAATTAGTGTCAGAGTGACAAAGGACAAATATATCAACTTCAAATTCTATCACTCTAGATGCACATTGAGTAATTTTCACTAACAGAGGGGCAAGAGAAATTGGAGTTAATTTGCTTCTATTCCAGATGGGTTTCTTTACGTGTGAAAGTTTGTTCTACTTACCAGGAACACCAAGCTCCATTTCTAGAAAGCGAACATAGTTCTGTGCATTTATAGGAAGTTCATCAAATGTTCTTGCATTTGATATGTCTGTATCCCACCCTGGGAGTATCTGATATTGAACCTCTACTTTATTTAAGACTTCCTGGTTTGCTGAAGAGAAAAAGAAAAGCCTGTTTACTATGTAACTAATATAGATTCATATCACCTTAAACAACCAGCTAGAAATCATTTTAATCAGGCCCCAACTTAGTTCTTTTACTGATGGAACCTCCAAAAAGATTTACTTACTGCTGCCCCTTGGCTTGAGGAACAAAATTGCAACCAAGATAGCAGAAAGGGCCCTAAATGGTAACTCTGATATAGATATAGGCAGGGGCTTATCTTAAAAAAAAAAAAAAAAA